GGTATAGTTTAGCAATAGAATCTTTGCCTACAGTTGAGGCTCTAAGGTCAGTCCTCAGTATCATAATAACAATGAACCAATAAATAGCAGCAAAAGGAAGTACTCCCCTAATCAAATGGAATCAAAATGATAAATAATTTGACAAAGGACGCAAGGGCAGATAAATGCGGAGGGGACAATTCTGAACTGAAAAGAAACTGTGGCTTTAACCTGAAGGCTTTTCCCCACTTCTTTCATTTCCTTCCATGCAGAAGAAGTCAATCCCTGTTATGTATATGACTGCTAATTCATTTCTTCCATGTTGTGACAGGGCAAGACAGGGCAGAGATTCTCCCATCTGATTTTCTAGCTGAGGCCATTTGTCTAGAATTTGATCTGCTTTATGGAAAATCCTATGAAAAATTACCCAACTTTGTTCTAGGAACCCAGGGTCAGGATGACCCAGCTAACTCAGCTTCTCCTCTATTAAACTGCTTGCCATGCAGCTCTCCTCCTCCAGCTAGCCATTTTTCTTAGCTCCTGATAAACCAGCTGTTCAAGCAAAAACTCCCCTGGAGCTGCAGAGTAAGATAACAGGAAATGGACTTTGTCTTTAAAAGCCCCTATATTCTAAACACTAGAGGGTATGCTTGGGTTCCTAATACTTACCTCACTGTGGTCCAAGCCTGCTGGATTAAAGATGTTCAGTTGGCTGTAAATTGTGCCTGAGTAGTCTTCTCTGGCAGACTACCTGTAAAAATCTAACTTTTAAATAATTATTGGAGTGATTTGTTGAAAGAAGATTTTCATTCAATGAAGACAACTACATTCTTTTTGTTAGCTTCAATGATGCAAAACTGTCAAATAAAATTAGTTAAATAGAAAGTATTTTATGTTTATCTTTGCAGAAAAGATAGAAAGTAAAGAAAATATTGTATTTCTAGGTAACTCAGAAAAATGGGCATGTTTGCTGAACTCTTGGTCACAGCTTTGTAAGTGACTGCACTGACAGAGAGGCTTCTGGAAGGATAAGCACACTAACTTGTTAATGGGGTAATTCTTCCTCCACTCTCTGAGGCATGTCTTCAGGTGAATCAAATTTTCTGTGCGAACTCCTGTCTAGTAGGTTTACAAAACCATCTGGATCAATTCTTGAGGGAGGAGACAATAGTAATGTAGTGTTTTGACTGAAGACATGGCCAGAGGTAGATTCTATAATTTTGATTAGGATGAAATAACTTTCTCTTAATAGTTCCCAGAAGACCCCTAATACCTATTCTCAGGGGTCTCCAATGCTAGTGTTGTAGTCCTTTGTCAGCAGTTAAGCCCTTAAAGTCTATGGGAGATAGGCTGGAATTGGAGACTAGATATAGTACATTTCTACTATGAAAATCTCAAAGTTGCATTCTGAAATTGTTCACCAGAAAGGATTAGTGCATAAACTGGAGTTTTTGTTGCACTCCACATGTAACCAATAAGCATAAGAAAATAGATAACAAGAAAGGAGAATTCCTTTCTAGCACTCCTGGCCTCTGGAATGGCGTGCTGGTATGAATAGAATGGTCCTCATAGGCTCATTTAGGTGTGGCCTTGTTAGAGGAAATATTCACTGGGGATGGGATTTATGATTTCAAAAGAGTATACCAGGTCTAGTCCCAAACTGCAATGTAGTTCTCAGCCACTGTTCCAGTACTGTGTGTGTCACATATCTCCTGCCATGATGAAAATAGAATAAGTCTCTGAACCTGTAAAAAAGTCCTCGATTAAATGCTTTCCTGCATAACAATTGCCTTAGTCATGGTGTCTCCTTATAGAAACTGAACAAGTCACTAAGCCAGCTGGAAGTACAAGAATCAGAACAATTTATGTTGAAGTCCCTGTCTAACTTTTTTTCTGTTTCTTGCCCTCATCTATGACAATAATATAATAATTATTCATGATCTTCAGAACCCTTTCTTCTTATAATTGTGTAGATTTTGGAAACCATTTCATTCATGTCATCCACCCCAAGTCACTGGTTATTAATCGTATGCCCTATGCTTCATTTTGCTTTAAGTTTTTGGTTAACATTCCTGCATTAGTTACTTGTTTATGTGCTACAAAATGGTATCTGACAAAATATTAGGAATTTTAATTTATAGTTCCTGGTATAGACAACAAGAAACAATGATTACAGGAACCTTAGTAGCTACTCACATGCCATCTAGGAGGAAATAGAGAAGACACCTTGTTTTCTCTGTGTTATACATTCTGGGACTCCACATAATGTTAAAGCGCTGTCCCTATTTCCAATTGATCTTTCTACCTCCATTAACAAGACCTAGATAACCCCTCACAGGCATGTCCAAAGACTTGTCTTTTCACTGATTTTTTTTATCTGTCTGTCACAAGAGATATCATAGTTTCTTCATTACTCCCTCTCTCACTCTGTTTTCCTTTCTTGTTTCTGGATTATTTTCTGATAGCCTAAATATTCATTCATCTACATTGTTGTAAGTGATGGGATCTGCTGTATAAGTGAATATTGTTCTATATTGCTCTATTATTCATATGTATTGTGTATATTATAATTTTTTCTACATATCCATCAATGGACATTTACATTGCTTCTATACCTTAGGTATTATAACTCAGCAATGAACATTAAAGTGAGGTGAACTCTGTTTTCTTCCCTTATAACCTTAGTTAGATTACGGAATCATATATTTATTTTATTTGTTGTTACTCCAGGACTCTTTATATTATTTTCAATAATGGCTGCATAATCTTATATTTCTACTACCAATACACCTTCCCTTCCCTACATTTTATGTATTTTGACTGTTTGAAAAAAGGTATGCTAGAAGATAAGAGGCTCGACCTCCTTGTGATTCCATTTCTATGTCCCTGGGAATTCTGATCTTTAAAACATTTCTGGTCTATCCCTTTGTACATCTGCAAATCACTTTTATGTAAAATGTATATGGAGGCATTAACAGTCACCTGAGGAATATATTAGGCATCTATTCATATTTTCTTGCATTAATTTTTGGAAATGGGGGTTCACAGCATTATAGAAGGAGTTAAAGGTTATATTGATAAATACAAAGAAAATATACTTAATTACCAGGCGTGTTTGCTGACATAAGTTGCTTTATTTTGAAGGTGAAAAGATTTCATTTAAAACATTGAATTGAGTTATGGTCTTTGCCTCATAACTCACTAAATGGCAATCCAAAATGAAGGACTAATCCTAACCTGATTATTCAAACAAAGATGACATGCAAAAGCATATTTCCAAATAGTCCCAAATGTGGTTGTTTAGCAATTTTTCCTAAACTGTGACGATGTCTATTTATACATAAATGCTTAAAATTATTGTTAACCATATGCATTTAAGTCATTTGGTCATTTGCTTTCTCTGTTAACAAGCATATGTTTTTATATCACTTGGTAAATTGTTAAATTTCAAACTTATAGCAAGATCCACTTCACAAAACACTTTAACGTTACTATACTACAGTAAATTCTATTACAAACAGCAGAGAAATGGCTGTATTGTTTATGAATATATGTGAGAAGTTTTTTGGGATCATCAGTCATATTGTCACAACATGCAAACTTTTGGTAATAAAAAGCGCATTAGAAGATGCTATTCACTCAGCTAATAAAGATTATGATATTTTTAAACTATCAACTGAAACAAATGTCCAATTTTCCAAACAGAGTTATCTTATTTATTAATTAAGGAAGATATTATATTTAATACTGAAATAAAAAACAGTTCTACAAATTTATGTTAAATTGTCTTCATAAAAGAATTAACACTTGCAAACAAGCACTTTTGTGGTTTTGCCATACAAGTAATTGATCTGTGTGAATTAGAGGTCACATACATCAGTCCTAGGTTTTCAGGGTTGTCTGAACCACTGGCTGAAGCAGTGTTAAAAGAATTTGCTGTTATGAGTAATGTCAATAGCAGAAATAATGATGTAGTCTTCCGTACCTGCTAAATTTTTCAGAGAATTTTAATGAAATACTGTACTTCACATGAAGTAGGATCAACAATCAAGAACATTTTTATGTTAGATGAGTTTTACAAAGTTTGTAACTAAGGAAATCTACTGGAAAATATCTACTGTCTCAGGATGATGAGACAGTATGGAATGATGAGGAAGGAAAAGAAGAAAGAAGGTACCTTGAATGACTGCTGGCACCTGGAGACATTTTGATAGCTCATTTCATACCAAAATTCTCATAAAGTATGTGATAAGTGCATCCATCCAATAAAGGCAAGAATAGAAGTGTTTTCCCATGAATGTTCCAATAGAGTGAGCTAAGTGTTATTCACAGGATTAACTGTTTGTCTGGTAATTACATTAAACAGAATAATATTTCTGTTCAAAATATATAATGGGCTTGCATGTGTATTGTGTTCTGTAGGAAGCTATTAATATTGCAGATTAAATGATTATATTAGGAAATTCTAAAATTCAGCATGTTCATGAATTGTAATTTTATTCATCAATAAACCATTGATCATTTAGTCTGTAGGAAAGTATAATGTTGTGTTGGCAGTCCCCCAAGTAACTACTAATTTTGGTGATTTCTTATAAGGATTAAAAACTCAGGAACTATTCTGTTCTCATAATTATAGTTTGCTTCACATTGAGAATATAGACTAAAATCAGAAACAAATTCACATAGAGTAGGGTGTAATTTAAAAATATTTAAAATTTTTATTTAAAAATTATTTCCTGATATTTGTGTGTGTGTGTGTGTGTGTGTGTGTGCGTGCGTGCAAGTTGATGAATACAAACATGGATACATGAATGCTATATACATGTGTAGAGGTCAGAAGACAACCTTGAATGATATTCCTTACCTTTTACCTCATTTAAAGAAAGGTTTCTTTTTCTTGCATATTTCTATGTATTTCAGTCTTGTTGGCTCTTGACCTTCCAGTTACTGTTATGTTTCCACCTCCCATCTTCCGGTAGGAGGGCCAAGATTATAGATGCATGAGTGACAGCTCCCACCCTCAGGAGAAAGCATAAATGCAGTCCCCCAATATCAATGCAGTTATATTTCCTGCATTGGGGGCAATCAAGGAGTCAGCATATTCAGAGTATAATGGATAAGCTTCTCCCTGGAAAAACCACCTTTGTGATCATGGTATCTCCCCTGCTATGTTAGTATGTAATTCCCAGATTTTACCTGAGTTCTGGATAATAAATTCAGGTCCTCTACATTCATGGCAAGCATTGTATCCATGGGTCTGTCTCCTTACCCAGGATATTTGTCTTCGACCAGGATAATCACAAATAGAGTGCTTCATTTTCTCAGCCACAGTGTATAATAACACTTGCCAAGAGTTATTAATCAAGGACATTCATCCAAGGCTCAGTATTTTATTTCAGGAAATCAGAAGAATATAACACATGTATGCTAGTCTTTACTGCTTGGTATCAGAGGTGAAACTGATGACTCAGAACTCCAGGTGAACAAAACAACATTTACCATAAACCACATTTCCATATTACATCTCTGAGTTGATTCCATGCTTAAAATATTTGGAGACACATCTTCAGGCTATTTCGAGATTCGGAAGGTATCTTTCAAATATGAGGTCAGTACTGAAATTCCTTGTAATATGCTGTTTATAAGCAGTCAAAGTTTGTGGAGATAACTGTTACTGCACATTAGAAAGGTTATGAATACATCCTCATTGATGGTTCCTACTACAGGGAATTTAATATAACATATCCTTCATGGTAAAGATTGAAGGCATACATTTCATTAAAAACAATAAGATCATAGCTTCTACTCAGTTTCTATACGAAAAATGCTCAGATATAAAATTTATGCCAGAATTTGTCTTTCCATGGGGAATTTTAGGGATATCATTCAGGTTCGATGTGCAATCACCATTCACGGTTTGTCGACTATAACACATATACAACTAAACTTCAGGAATTAGGTTAAAAAACTGGAATTAAAGAGAGGCAGTAGCAAGCACTGCAGAGTCCAAAGATGGCTCTGCCTAAGAAGGAGCTGTACTCCACTGGATCCTTGGCCAGCGCAGGAATAAAGGAACACTTGTTATATATGAAAAACTGGAGTAGGTCTATCATGAAAATGATAGAACAAGTGGCAGATTTTATAATTATATTTAATAATTTACCACCACTTTAATGCCTTAAAGGAACATAAAGCTGCTTTCCACTTTGTTCTCTAGATGAAAAGTCTGAAGAAAATCCTATGGGGTTAATATTGATTTCTAGGTTAAAAGGTATTTAATGTGGAGGCTCCTGAGGAGAATGTTTTATTTATTTTTAATAGTATCTACCTAAATTAGAGGGGTCATGACTCCTTGGTCCACCTTCAAATTGCATCTCTCTAAACCTTGATGCTCTTTGCTATCATTGTCCCATTTAGACTTGTTTGTCCCTCCCCAACATTTTCCCTTATTGGAACCCTATGAGCATACTGGACTTACACATTGACCAACAATAAGCTACCTCCTTGTTCATCTCAAGTTCTTCACCTAACTATACTGATAGATTCTATTTCCACTTAAGGCAATATACTCAAAAGTTGCAAGATTTGGAAGTAGTACCTTTAGTGGTCATTGTTTTCATCATACAGTACTAAGCAATACATGCACAAGAATAATCAGTCTTGAAAAGGTCGCCTATGAAATACTATTTTCTAGGCCTAATTAACTATGTTTCTGTAAGTTTCTATAAGACTGAGCCCATTGCTTTATTTACTCAGAATGGCCAACAATCAATGAATTGACCATGAATTTCCTAAGTCCCATCAACATTTACAAGTTTTTCTTTCAAAGTTATGGGGTTCAGAAAATCAGCCATTGGTATTGAAGAGAAAGTCATTATATTAAATATCTATTTAAGTTAATAAGTACAATGAGAGTTGCCTTGAAAGCTGTAATTTAGTATGCATTTAATATGCATATATATATCCAAATCATTTGTTTACTGTATACAGTTACATATAGTTTTTACAACAGATTTTGTTGTTTCCTAAAGACTAAGTGTCCACCAACCTGCCCTGGCATGATTTTGGAAGCAGCCTAGAGTTAGCAGATTTTCTCCCATAAGTGCCAGTGTCTTCATGTACAATAAGGGATACTCTTTTCCTCTCATAGTTTTATATCCGTAACTTTTATTTTATTATCATATTAATATTTCAGGTTACATACTTTTGCAATCAGTAGAAAAAACATATGGATAATAACTATTATTTCTGTATCAAAGACAGAATTGCTCACTGAGGAAGGACAGTGGTATCCTCCCAGAAAGCTAACATGAAAGGCAAGGAAACAGTTATTTCTTTCCAACAACAAGACACTTCTTATGTGCTTTAAATCTCTTTGGATTGACAACATCTTGGTTTAAAATACAGCATTAGTAACATGGTATAGTTTTATCATGCACACAATACCTCCATTTTATTTGGAATACTCTAAAAGATTTTAAATAAATTACATAAAAGTGAAAAATATGGAAATTGGTATTACTTTTTAAAATTTAGATTTGAGACAGCCTCTCCCACCTTGATGTTCTGCTGGGGATGTGGGCATTTTGACTATCAACACATTTGAAATTGTGTTCATAATAAAAGAAGAAAAAATGTCTCATCAGTGTACGGAAAGAGACTAGTGCTTGACTTGTGGAGTGAAACAGTTCCTCATCAGAGCCCTGATTCCATTACAGAGATTTTCTCCTAGTCATTATCCTGATCCTTGATTTCCATTATTTTTGGACACATTAGGGTAAGCATGGGTCTCTGGCGACAGCACTTTCTCCTCTTTACTGTCTAAGTGAGTTGTTTAGCTTTCACATCAAGAATCTTTCATATGAATTCATCTTGTGTAGCTCTAGATGTGAGTTTCTGTATTTTCTTGAAACTATTTCCCGAAATCTTTTCTTAGAGCACACACAGCACTAAGTCAGAAAGAAAGATATTTTTAGTGTCAACTCACTCTTCTAAGAGCTAAGCACTGATTCCCCACTATTGAACTATGGTTTCACAGACATGACATTGTGCTTGGTCCTTGAAGTTTTGGATTCACTGTTCTCAAAGTTTTAACTGTAATTGACAAATGTGCAAGGTTCCCTCAAATTTATCTTTTTAAAAGGACGAAACTATTCATCATCTTCCCATTGTTCCAAAAATAGGGCAATAGCATGTTCCAGATCTTAAGTCTGTGGGCAAATATTTCTCTCTGACAACAAGCATACAAATTTATTATCTGTGGTATTCTAGACGCAAAATAATGAAACTAGTTTGAATTTTACTTCTCTTTCTACAATTAACTATATTGTGCCTGATACAAGTCTTCACTGAAATCCTAGTATGGTGACATAGAAGCTCATGCTCCAGCTAACACATCCTAATAAAATATGAATGCCATTGTTTCATAAAATAATTTGGCTTTAAAATCATATTTACAAGAATATATTCATTTTCCTATGCCTTACATGCATTTATGTATGTTTGTCACAGGATCAAATAATCAGCATCAATAGTCGTAGACACATGAACAATTGTCTTTCTTTCTTAAAGCAAATATATATGTCATTATGTATCAACTATATAAGACAATTAGGAAACATAGTTTAGTAATTAGTCAACTATTACAACGAAACTTGTAGTCACTTTAGGTATGTTTACAAGGTCTAACTGACATACTAGAAAGAAGGTCACCTTCAAATAATTCAGAGATCTACAGAATATGGCATTTAACATGTTTTATTAGCACAGGTTCTTTTTATGACAATGAGACATGTCTCCCCTGGCAGCCCCAATCTACATCAGATAACATGGCGGCCATCGAAGAAAACCCACATGGTGTTTGAGTTCTTTGTGGTAAAGGTAAGCCACTGGACAAGAAAGTGCCCTTGCCTCAACTGCTGCCAGTATGCTGTCCAAATTGGAAAAACAGAACACCAAAAAGTGTGACTGCAAACCTTGCCAAGACAAGATTGTCCAGTCCTTCAGGCTATCCTGGTTCATACAATGTCAGATATGCTAGGCCTATTAGCTGAAGATGGATGTCCCAATGTTGCAGAGCAATGTTTGGTGACTGTCTAGGCTGCCAGATGTTTCTGTCATTTCTCACATTATTTGGAAGTTGGTTGCTTGTACTTCCTGCTTATTCAGTTGATATTATTTCCTTCTTGGGTATCTGAGGGAGTTGAAGACTAAATAGTATATTTATAGTTTTCCCTGTTTACCAGAATCAGTAAAGAAACTCACTATAGATATATTTAGTATAAGAGGTTTAAAAGACATTCAAAGATAATTTGATATGCAAATTAGAATACATAGTAAATTGGGTACAAGACTCTTGACACATCAAGAAAGAATAATGTAGTAGTTTCTCAGAATTTGTCATATGCTTATGGACTTGAAATTGTACATATTGCCATGCATATATTGTATATAGTTACTGTACTTTATTGTATATAGTTATTGTACTGAATTGTACATAGTTTTTCTAAAATTGGTTATAACATTTTTGTATTTTTTAAGCAAAAAGGGGGGATATGTGGTGATATCTTTCCTGCAAAAATAAAGCCTGTCTTGATGTCAGTAAATGGAGCTTATCACTAGCTAACCAAAGAGGTCTGGAGATTTGTACAGATAGTTAGGAAGTTATATAGCTAGGCAGAAACAGGATATAAGCAGGGACAAACAGTAAATCCCTCTCTTCTTTGTGGAGACACTGCACAGTCATCATGTAGCATGCAAAGGAGTTGCAGGTCTGGAATTCTCTGGTAATCCAAGACCACGTGGAAATACATGGATAAATAGAAATGGGTTAATAATTAAGACAGGGCTAGTCAATAAAAAAAAACCTAGTCATTGGACAACAGTCTCATAATTAATGTAAGTCTTGTGTATTTATTTGGGACTGATGTGGCTGTGGGACCAGTCTGGTGAGAAGAACAATCAATAACATATTAAGTTTAGTTATTTTCTTGTTCATGTGTATATATGTTAACATGTACACAAGTGCTTGAATATTATATGATTGTTTGTATGGAAGCCAAAGGACAGCCTCAGGTGTCAACCCTAAGTAGATCATCCATCTTCTTTGAAATACAGTCTCTCCTTGGCCAGACTCTCTCTAATTAGTTTATACTGCCTGGCAAGTAATCTCCAAAGAC